AATATAAATAAATATGTTATAATACATAAGAGTAGGGGAAAATAGACCATAGCAAAAGACGGAAACGGGAAAGCCGAGGGGAAAGATGGTGAAGGCCACCGAAGTTAGAGGACAGAAAGGGGAGGGATGGTGAGGATACGGGACAGGATGAATTAATCAGAGAAATATTTCTGATTCATGTACATGAATATATGTATATAAGTGTAATATATATATTTTATATATTCTATTTTATAATGGAGTATCCTAATTTCCTTACTTACCTTTTTTTAATTTTTTAATCATGTTGTGGTACAGGTTTTTTTAATTGACTTTAAATTCTTTTCAAAACAAGGCAGATAAAAATGAAGAAAGAGGGGCCAGCCCCAACGGCCTAGTGGTTAAAGTTCATGGCACCCTGCTTTGGCAACCTGGGTTCAGTTCCCAGGCATGGAACCACACCACTTGTCTGTCAGTGGCCATGCTGTGGTGGCGGCTCACACAAAAAAAGGGGAAGATTGGCAACAGATGTTAGCTTAGGGCGAATCTTACCCATCAAAAAAAAAAAAAAAGAAGAATACTTTCAATTAAAATATAGGAAAAATGCTTTGAGTAATCATGAAAGAATGAGCTTCTATCTAGTGTTAGCAATTGGAATACCACTTAATCCAGCAAAAAGAATTTGTATGTCTCTTTACTCTTTCGGAAAGGGGACAAGTCTATGTGTTTTAACCTAGAGGAAGACTGATATATGCTCTTCCAATTGGACAATTATCCTCTGCAGATTCTCATGCTTTTAATAAAGCAATGATAATAAAATGAACCTTAGCTTGCTGAGTTCTCTGTCTTGTTTGATGTAGGAATTCATTATTTTTCATTTTTGGAAGAGCTGTGATTATTTTTGAATGGAATGTTAATCTAGGAATTATCTCAGACTCTGCCTTTCCACCCTGACAAATTTGACATATTCTCTTAATTCTCTATATGTGCTAATTTCTATATTTAATTAGAAGACTATTAGAGTAACAATGACCCAGAGCTCAGGGGACACACACATACACACAGACAGAGGCAGAGAGAGGAGAAAATATGATTTAGTTCCTAGATTTTTTTTTTTTTTTCACTGAAAAATAATCTCCAAAATGACCTACATCAGCTTGTGTAGGACTCTTTAGATATTTGAATGCATGGGCACTGGAAAAACCACCAAGAAAGGGCTAGAAAAAGATGGCCCAGTTTTAGAATGGTGGTACTCTAATTTTCCAGCTAATAGTACATACCAAGCCAGCCCTGGTGGTCTAGTGGTTAGGATTCTGCACCCCAGTCTGTGTCTTGATTAGAGAACCACACCACCCATCTATTGTCATACTGCCATGGAGGGTATTGCTGTGACCCTGAAAGCTATGTTTCAGATGGACCACGGTAGACAGATTTCGGCAGAGCTTCCAGACTAGGACAGACGAGGTAGAAGGACCCGGCCATCCACTTGCGAAAAAATTGACCATTAAAATCATGATGTAATCTATGCAGAAATAGAAGTACAATGATGTACACCTGAAATTTTTACAATGTCATAAACCAGTGTTACTGCAATAAGCAAAAAATTAAAAAAAAAAAAAAATCCTATGAATAGGGCCGGCCCTGGTGGCTTAGCGGTTAGGTGCGTGCACTCGGCTACTGACAGCCTGGGTTCGGATCCCAGGCGCACACTGACGCACCGCTTCTCGGGCCATGCTGAGGCCGCGCCCCTCATACAGCAACTAGAAGGATGTGCAACTATGACGTACAACTATCTACTGGGGCTTTGGGGAAGAAAAAAAAGGAGGAGGATTGGCAATAGACGTTAGCTCAGAGCTGGTCTTCCTCAGCAAAAAGAGGAGGATTAGCACGGATGTTAGCTCAGGGCTGATCTCCCCCAAAAAAAAAAAAAAAAAATCCTATGAATAGGGCCATCCCCATGGCATAGCAGTTAAGTGCGGGCACTCCACTGCTGGTGACCCGGTTCGGATCCCGGGGACGCACCGTTTGTCAGGCCATGCTGTGGCGGCGTCCCATATAAAGTAGAGGAAGATCGGCAGGGATGTTAGCTCAGGGCCAGTCTTCCTCAGCAAAAAGAGGAAGATTGGCATGGATGTTAGCTCAGAGCTGATCTTCCTCACCAAAAAAAAAAAAAAAAAATCCTATGAATAGCAGCAGAGCATTGGCTGAGACAGCACAGTGAGAGGATGGTGCAAAAAGATGGAGCAGGCTTCCTCCCTGCTGTACACAGGGCTGGTAGGAGTCGGAATCCCTGGACGGCACTAACAACAAAATGTTGGCATCCCTCAATATGAATCTTCTTTTATTCATTATACTGAGTGGACCATTTCAATCTGGAAATTCAAGTCCTTCAGTTCTGGGGAATATTTTTGTATTGTTTATTTGATAAAATTCTCTCCATTTTCTCTGTTCTCTCCTCAAATTTTTATCTTCTAACTGTTCTATTACATTTTTTAAATTTCTATTTTTAATTTTTAAAAGCTTTTTGTCATCCTTCTTGCTTCATGAATGTGATATCTTATTTTCTGAAGATATTTCTCTTTTTTCTGAAGTTTTCTTCTGTTTCCTACATTCTTTCCATTTCCTTTGAAATGGAAATAGCTTTTTTCTTTTTATTTTGGGCTCTGTCTTTCAAGTTAGAGACTTTCCTAAAATGACTGATGATCCTTGGCTCTTACTTGTCAAAGATAGGCACAAAAAAGATGATTGGAAGCTTGATATAGGAGAGGTTGATATTGTCCATCTGTGGGCACCGCAAGGGGTAATTGATCAAGGACTTGGCCATTTGGGGGGAACCGCAAATGTCAATATATGTAGGTCTTTTTACGTGGGCCAGCCAATTTCCCTGGAAAGAAATCTAGTCTCCTGCAGGGGGAATGAGGGAGGAGGGGGTTTGAGGCAGGGAATTAATCTGCCTGTGTTAATAAATAATAAATAATATAAAATAAATAATAATAAACCTGGTGGCCTGTGTTCTGGGAGCTGAGCTGAGGAAGGGGATTGAAAATCTCACTTTTCAGTTCAGGATCATCCCTTATCTTCTGTATGGTGACACACACATGACCCTGCTATGCCTCGTGGCCCAGAATTCAGCACCTCTATTGCTCAACTTCTCCAGAGAATTAATGTGCCCATCTTTACTGGAGAGGACATGAAAGCCAAGCAGAACTGTCTGGCTGCAAGGACAGGAGAATAGACTCCAGAGGCCTATCCGATCTTTATAACGACTTTTAACTAGTCCTATTTTAGCCGTACCCCAAACCTTCAAAGATATTAGGTCCTTCCAGGTCCCAAATCTTCCTCAGAGTTTTAAGAATTGTCTTACTTTCTGTTGCTTCCCTACCACACACAATCAAGCCTCAGCTTTCCTCTGCTCTGCCAAGTCAATTAGCATTCCTCCATCTGCTTACCATTTTCCATAATTTCGTTGACATCTATCATCTACTGTAGTCTCTGTTCCCATCCTTTGTCATATGAGTTTATGCCTTTTTTATTCCTTTACTGCTTTTTCGTGTTTCAGAAGGGAGTGGAGCAGTAGTGTGCTGATAAATGTTTCATAAATATATAAGCATAATTTTATTAAAAATTTACTGATATAAAGTAATAATATAATAATTATTATAAATAATAATAAAATACATAATACTCTTTCCTGTAAATTTCATATAACCAATTGATTCTCATAGAATGCTATACTAATTTTTACAGATTTCTTATATCTATAGCCAAACTGTGGTTGTAATTTAAGAACAAATGTAGTCCTGATATGAATGTTGGTTGATATTTTCATTTACTCTGTGGAGTAAAAACAAAACACAAAGCAAAACAAAAAGCAAAACACAAAGACTTTATGTTGGAATTTCACTTCAGTTATGTATGCAACATCTTTGATGAATCAGATAATAGTTTCCAAATACTGGAATAATATTCCTCAATTTTTTGTGCTATTCACAATGTAATGACTACACACAAGATAAATTTTTAAGTTTACTCTGCATTATTGACATTTTCTTCATCACTTTCTTAACAATCGACACAATAATAAATCAAGCCCTAATCTGTAGTATTTTATAATATCTGTGGTATAAATACACCCATCATGGCCAATTTCAAGTTTCCAATATGAAGTCACGGAATGTGAATCTAGGAAGAAATGAGCACTAATACATCATTCTGTAGCATTTTCATTATATAGATACAATAAGGTAAACAACCTCAAGAGCATAGATGATAGTAAAATCATTAGGAAATGATGACTTTTGCATATTTATTACCTTTTTAAGTATAAATTATCTAATTGTAAGTTTACATAATTTAATTTTAATGGTGGACATGTTTAACAAATGACTCACAGACTTCTTGAAAATGTAAGACTTGGTGCCAACCCCAACACACATAGGAGTGGAGATAAAGGTACAGTCAATCCACTAAGTTTAACCAAAATGTCCAGCTCCTTTCTAAAGTCTATTTTCATAACTTAGAGATTGGTGGCTACAAGAAAAAGAGGCAGGAGGCCGGTTCTCTGTGTCAGTTTGATCTCTAAAAAAAGATATCAAGGGGAGAGAGGGAACAGAAGCCAGGAGGGCTGGGAAGCAGATGGAAGATTAGGAAGGAGAGGTTACCATGGAAGTCTCAGATTTAGGAATCCCAACCAGTGAACTTTGGGCCTTGGGTAGAGGTTTCCAGTGACATTTCTCCATAGGAGGTTGTAGGCGTGGATTTGATGAGGTTTAACATTTTTTTCAGGCAACCACAAGATTGCTGCTTCCTCTGAGGCTTTCCTAAACATCTTCATTCAGAGTATTTTTGTTCTGTGTTAAGTTTTTTTTAAAAAATCAATCAATCTTTTAAACATCCCTTGTGTTTAATAATCCATGCATGGCCTTCCTTCATTATTTCAGCAGGAAGAAAAGGTGACATAATAGAGTTGAAGTCAACTATTTTTTGATGTGTCTCCCAAGCTTCTAAGAACAATTAAGAAAAATGCTCTGTTAATTTGAGACCTGGCAATTAGTTCAGTAAGATCCCATCAAGAACCTTTACTTCTAGGAGGGCTGATAATATATGCACTGTCACCCATTGCCATTAGGGGTGCCCTCTGCAAGTCCAGCGCTTTTGAAACTAAGCCACTTCTGAGTTTTCACAACCCGCAGCGGGGTGGGGGGAGGTTCTTCAGCCAGTGGAATCTGATTGCTGAGCAAGCCTAGAGCTGCATACCAAGTGCTAGAAGGTTACTGGGTGAACAAAAGTGGAATGAATGTGTATTTTAAAGGCCGATTGTTCCTATTCAAATGTAAGTTTGAAGGGAAGGAGGCCTAGCCCTTGAGACCATTTTTAGTTCTGCTACTTGAATACCAACATCTTTGTTCCTCAGGTAGCAACAGCTAAAACCAGCAAAGCACATCTTCACATCAAACTAGCTCAGACTTAATTTTCTTCAGAAAATATATGGATTAAAATCTAAATATACTAGATAGTGCTTAGAAATGCTTTAAATAAATGTTTTGAAACACATCTTAGATTTGGGGTAATTGTTATTACGTTGTGTATCACCTATTTAATCTATTGCACCACAGTGTATTAGAAAGAACATGGTCTTTGGAGACTTACAGATCAGGACTTAATACCTTATTTCACTACATTGGGCAAATCATCTAATCTTTCTAAGCCTTGGTTTATTCTTATGTAAAAATGAGAATAAAAACTTCTTCCTCAGGGATAATATCTTGCAGGATAGTGAGGAGTCATTGAGAAAATGTATGTGAAGGTGCCTAAAAGTAAGTGGACATTCTATAATGGTTAATTGTCCATTACCAACTCTACCTATTACAGTGGATGTTACGGTAAGCGTTACTGGCAAAGAAACTTACTTCCTTTTAATAACTGACTATAATCCAGTTATATCCATTTTCTCTGTTATAAAGAAAGGGAAATTCACTTGACTTAATGAAGAAAAACAAGATAAGCAAAACAAAATTAGAGATTAATGTAATGCCAAAGCCAAGGTCTCTCGAGAGATAGTTTAAATCTGGGTTTAAATTTTTCTCCCTTTCAGGGGCCAGCCCTGTGGCATAGTGGTTAGGTTCATGCGCTCTGCTCTGGAGGCCCAGGGTTCACAGGTTCGAATCCCGGCCATGGACTGACACACTGCTCATCAAGCCATGCTGTGGCAGCGTCCCATATGCAAAGTGGAGGAAGATGGGCACAGATATTAGCTCAGGGCCCATCTTCCTCACCAAAAAAAAAAATTTTTCTCCCTTTTAGAGAACTTCTGGAATGCTAGTAGTGACCTATTTCCTACCAAGATGGTAGTTACAGGGGTATGTTTACTTTCTGATAATTCATTGAACTATACACTTAAGATTTGTGCATTTTTCATATGTATATATTATTCTTCAATAAAAAATGTAAAAAAAATTTTCTCCGTAGAGATCATGCCCAAGTTCAAGCAACGAAGAAGAAAACTAAAAGCCAAAGCAAAAAGATTATTCAAAAAAAAAGAAGCCTCTCACTTTCAGTCCAAGCTAATTACACCTCCCCCTCCACCACCACCCTCGCCAGAAAGGTAAGGCGTAATGTGGAACAGAGAAAATATTAAAAATCAGATCAGTTTAGGATAAAGTTACTAGATTCAGCAGATAAAAATACAGAATGCCCAGTTAAATTTGAATTTCAGATAAACAACAAATAAGTTTTTAGTATTATCCCATTCAACATTTGCAATATACTTATACTAAAAAATTATTCATCCTTTGTCTGAAATTAAATTTTATCTGACCATCCTGAATTTTATGTGGCAACTGTAGTTTAAGAGTCCAGAGCAAAAATCACAAGGAATTGTGTTGGAGGTACACAATAACTATTTTCTCTTTTCCTAGTCAATTTGATTGCATAAATCTGGCAACTAAGTGATGAAAGAGGGACATAGGATTAGAATTTAAATCTTAGTTTTGGTGAAGTTTGGTCAGTTATTCTCTGGGACTCAGAGCTTAAATGTGTTACTGAAAGAGACTCTAAGTTCTAGGAACCCTGGGGTACTAGTTTTCACAATAACATACTTTATACATTTTGTCGTTATAGCTCTCTTTATGGAAAAATTTTAAAACAGGCCCTCAGAAAGCAGTAATCATGATATCATCCTTGACTCTTCTCTATGTCTCCTGAATATTGAGAAAGCCCCCTGACTGGTCTTCCTGCTTCTGCCCTTGCCCCCTCTGCAGTATATTTCAACACAGCAGCTAGAGTGAGCCTGTTAAAATCATGGCATATTGCTCCTCTGCTTAAAACTCTCCAATGTCTTTCTCAGTAAAAATTAAAGTCCTTTGTATGTCCCACAAGGCCTTTATGAGCTGACCCTCATTATTTCCTAGTCCCCTACACTTCAGTCTCTCCACCCTAGTCATTTTGGCTTCCTTGCTATTCCTCAAGACGCTTCAGACGAGCTTTCACCTCAGAGCCTTTGCAATTACTATTGCCCTTGCCTGGAATGTTCTACTCCCAGATATTTGCATTGCCAGTCTCTTTACTTCCTTTAAGTTTTTTCTCAAAAGTCACCGTCTCAGTGAGACTTCCCCTGGCTACTCTATCTAAAATTTCACCTCCATCCAACATTTCACATTCCCCCTTTCTTGCTTTATCTTGTTCTCCTTAGCATTTACTCACTACCTACCAACCGATATATGTTATTTATTTACTTATTTTTACCTTTCTTCCATGAGACTAAACTCCATGAGGGCAGGGTTTTTATCTATTTTGTCCATTACTGAATCCCTGATGCCTATTTATTTACCATTTATTTTATTTTATTCGTTACTATTTATTTAGTCAACAAATATTTATTGTATAAGTGAATCTCAGAATTCTGGAATTGAATGAAGAATTTGGCTTTAGGTAGTCTCTGCTGCTGAGTCATACTATAAAACTAGCTTGTTATTTAATTAGAGGCTGTTATTCCAACTCAGGAGTTTTTGCTTTGTTTGGTTTTGTTTTTCCTATAGAGTGGTTATTCCTTCAACAGATAGACCCCTTAGCAGAAGCTGGCTAAGATCATCCTGGAACTTCAAATTTCCCAATATCAAAGATGCAGTAAAACTTTGGACAAATAGAGTGTGGTCTGTATACAGCTGGTGCCAGAGGTGCATTACCCAGGTATGGGTTGGATATACCTGTTTTCAGCAATACAGTTTTTCTACACACTTGGTATGTGTGTTCACATGTGTGTGCGCTCAGGTCAGCACAACACTCAGGCTAAGCTCAGAGAAGATGAAATTATGGGGTCATGTCTGCCTTTGCTTCTATAAAACATACATCAAACCACATTTTTGTCTTTTTTTCTTGTCCTTATCATATTGCTCATTGGATTCAGGCTGGTTTATTTTTGATTGCAGAGTTTAGAAGTATTGCAAGACACCATTTTGCCATCCCGTTTCTGCCGCCGAGAACTTCACAGTCTAAAAGAACGGTTTTGCATTTTGGAAAGCGAATTATGCAAGCTCCAGGAAGCACTGAAGGTTCGTATTGTCAAATAAAAAACAGTTAGGTGAGGAGAGAAGGGGTTGTCCCCCATAGGAATCCTAGTGTGCTTTCACCAGGAGGAATGACTACAGGCAAGTGCTAGTCCTGGGCCCGTTTGCCCTCAGATCTATTCCTTAAACTTCAGAGGCTCTGCTCTGTATTGCAGGGGGGCTGATCCCTGCAGGCTACATTTCCCAAGCTCCATGTCATCTGGCTCCTGGCAGTGCTGGGCTAATGGGAGACAGTGATGAGAGACTAGAGGGAGGGAGAAGATGGGGTATTTTTCCTCTTCGTTCTCTGTGTTGGGTGATTTCTCCAGTGATGGTTGTAGTTGTCTCCTTGATTTCAGCTCCCACTAGGTGAGTCTATGTTTCTTTTTTTTTTTTTTTTTTTTTTTTTAATTTTTTCCCCCAAAGCCCCCGTAGATAGTTGTATGTCATAGCTGCACATCCTTCTAGTTGCTGCGTGTGGGACGCGGCCTCAGCATGGCCGGAGAAGTGGTGCGTCGCTGCGCGCCCGGGATCCGAACCCGGGCCGCCAGCAGCGGAGCTCACGCACCTAACCGCCAAGCCACGGGGCCGGCCCAGAGTCTATGTTTCTTGATTCTCTGGGTTAACCCAGTTCCAGAGATCTGGTTACACTGCTCTTCCCTTTCTCCCTCCAGCCTCAGGGTGTTCATGGCTTTCTGGTGTTGCTAGTCTCTGGGCTGCCTCACTGTCCCTTGTGTGCTTCTCAGCTCTTGCATCAGCAGTGTACCCAACTCCCTACATTACATTCCCCCTCTTTCAAATACTTAGTGGTTTCTATTTTCTTGACTGATACAGGCAGGAAAAAACTATAAATATCTACTCTCTCCAAATTCCCCTAAGCAAGGCCCCTATTCTCAGTGTCTAAAACCCAAGGAATAAACATTGTGCTCATTAGTTTGGAGAAAAGCTTCTGGGATCATACCCCTGCTCCCAGAATTTGTACCTCAAAATGAACTAGTCAGAGAAGGAAAGTCAAATCACCTCACTCCTCTGGACCTCAGTTTCCTCATCTATAAAATGGGGAAGATACCATCTGTAGTGGGCTGAATGATGGCTCCCCTAAAAATATGTCCACGTCCTAATTCATGGAACCTGTAAATATTACCTTATTTGGGAAAAAGGTCTTTGCAAATGTGAAGTTAAAGATTTTGAAGTGAGGAAATCATACTGCATTATCTGGGTGGACCCTAAATCCAATTACATATCCTTATAAATGAGACACATGGAGCAGAACATACAGGAAAAGGAGGAGCAGTGAGACCACAAAGGCAGAGACTAGAGTGATGCGGCTTCACACCAAGGAATGCCAATAGATACCAGAAGCTGGAAGAGGCAAGGAACAGATTCTTCCTTAGAGCCTTGGGAGGGAGTACAGCCCTGCTGATACCTTGATTTCGGACTTCTAATCTCCAACACTGTGAGAGAATTAATTTTGATTGTTTTAAGCCACCAAGTTTTTGTGATAATTTGTTATAGCAGCCATAGGAAACTAATATACCGTCTTACTTTATAGAGTCATTGTATTAGTTTGCTTGGGCTGCCATAACAAAGTAGCACAGACTGGCTAGCTTATACAACAGAAATTAAATTTCTTACAGTTTTGGAGGCTAGAAGTCTGGGCTCAAGGTGTTAGGGTTGGTTTCTTCTAAGGCCTTTCTCCTTGGCTTGCTTATTGTGTCCTCAAATGGTCTTTTCTCTGTGCACATGCCTGGTATCTCCCTTGTATGTTCAAATCTCCTCTTTTTATAGGGACACCAGCCAGATTGGATTAGAGCCCACCCTAACAGCCTCTTTTTAACTTAATCACCTCTTTAAAGGCCCTACCTCCAAACACAGTCACATTCTGAGGTACTTGGGGGTTAGGGCTTCAACACATGAATTTGGGGGAGGGACACAATTCAGCCCACAACAGTCATGTTCCAGCCTCTTGGCCTTTTTCAGTCCCTTGAATATACTATATTCTTGGCTGCATTAGGTATTTTTCCCTCTGTCAGGGACTCTCTTCCCCCAGTCTTTATCCCCTTTCTTCGCCTGGTAAGCCTAAGTTCATCCTTGAGATCATGGCTAAATATCACTCCCCAGGCCTCTAGCTATTCATGTTCACAGCACACTTGATTGCTCTTATTGAAATATTATTTTGTTTTGCTTTGAGTGTGTTTGTGTGTTTCATGTCTGTCTTCCTCACCAGACTGTCAGCTCCATGAGGTGACAGACAGGGCTCACATTGTACCCACAGTGCCTGGCATATAGCACACACAAAACAGATAGATGAATGAATGAGTGAGTGGATGAATGAATGAATTTGCTTACGATAAATGAGAAAAGATTATGAAGCACATGGTATACTGAGAAAGCATTCAATACACTGTGTTTGATGACGCTCAGTTACAAGAACCAAATTAATCTGTTATTCATTGCCAAATGTAATGCCTACTTCCAGACTGTCTCAGAAAATTCTTCCTGTCGAAGCTGTGGTCAAACATGTCACATGAGTGGTAAACTCACAGATGTGCCTGCATGTGCTGTAACCACCCCTGGAGAATCCGGAGCTGCACTTCCTCCCACACTGCCACAGCCAGTCAGCCATCTTCCTCCTCCTCCACCTCTGCCTCCACCGCCTCCACCACCTCCTCTGCCTCTACCTCCACCACCGATAGCACCTTTAATGCTCAGAAAATCCAATCTCGCTAAAGCTCTTCAGGTAAAAAACAATCTGGTAAATGTGTGTTTTGGTCAGTGTGTATTGGAAGAGTAAAGGCAGGTGGCTTTTTAAGGCTGGGCTAAGGGCTTTGACAGGAAGGCTACATTTTGTTCTGATTCCATATCTTAATTGTGTCAATTCTTTTGTTTTTAAAAACTCAGTCCCCTGGGAACTCGCGAAAGCTGGATTTAGAAATGAAAGTGATTTTTTTTTTTTTTTAAGGATAAATGAATGAAACCCAGTAGAGTGGGAGAGTCCTATTAGCCTCTCAGTATATCTTTTTACCAAAATGAAAACCTCCCTGGGAAACCAAATTAAGAACAGAAGATGGCTTCGTGAGTGAAGTCAGAATACAAAGAGTTGGTGGATCCTAAAGTATAATATCATTAAGCTGGAGAACCAGTCTCCATTAGAGTTACTTATCTGCCAAGGGGACCAGAATATCTGTGAATCACTTAGATAGGCATAAGCCTGTTTAAAAACCTGCTGAATTTTTACTACAGACACATTTGGCTTGAAATGACTGAGTTAAATCCATAGCCTGTTGTTATATTTGCCCTAGTATATACCTCTCTGAGTATACGTTCTCGCTCTATGGGAACTGAGTCATCTTTTTTAGGTAGTTCAGGCAAAACTTCACTTTGATTTGAGGAACTCCTTCAACTCTTGTCTTATAATGACTCCTAAGGAGGATGCATAGTTGCAAGGAACTAACCTATCTCTTATTTACTATCAAAGGCTTACATTTTGATGAATATTTTTCAATAGCCTTAGCATCCATGGGTGCTGAAAACAGGATGATTTTTGCTTGAGTGGAAAGAATTTGATAGGCTCCTCGGGTAAATGACAGTTAATTTTTAACTCTAAGTCTTTAAACACTAGATTTGGATTTGCATTTGACTAGAAATCCTGGCTCCAATTTGAATTCTAACCTCTCCCTCTATTTTAAGGCTGGACCATTAAAAAAAGATGGACCTATGCAGATAACAGTTAAAGATCTAATGACTGTGAAATTAAAGAAGACACAGAGTTTTGATGAAAAGAAGAAGGTAAGATGTCATTGACTACATCATGGTCTTTCAGCTTTTAACCTGGTTGTCCCTTTACGGAAAATAAGCATTAGTCTTGTGTATAGAAACCATTCCAAGGTATTTGATGTTTTATTTGTGTAGTTTTGGATCTCCTCAACAGAATGTGTAGATCTCAAAATTATTTAATTGGGCAGTTTTATCATTAGTCTGAAAAAGTAGAGATGTACTTTGACGCTTTGGAATAAAAATTGAATAGAGTAGTGGATATGTCTTACACATACCCAGTAGGGAAATGTTCATGGTTCCAGCATGTTTACATTTTGAATGATATTTTTAAATGTGTTTTTAATAATGTCTCATTTTGTGATTAAAGCTTGTACCATCACCAAAGGCATGGAATCCACTAGTTACTGTCTCTGACCTGAAGCATGTTACCCTGAAACCCAGCTCCAAAGTGTTAACTCAAGTTACAAATGTCTTCATGTAAGGAACTGCACAGTGTTATGCTCTATTGCTACTTAAAAGAATGATTTTTTTGCTTATTTCTAACTTTAAAAGTTATATAACCGCTCATGTAAGAATATTGAAATCTACAGAAAAGTTTAATGAAGAAAACAAAAATCAGGGCCAGCCCCAGTGGTCTAGTGGTTAAGTTCAGCGGGCCAGGTTTGGTTCCCCAGGCACAGACCTACACCACTCATCAGTGGCCATGCTGTGGCAGCAGCTCCCATACAAAATAGAGGAAGATTGGCAATAGGTGTTAGCTCAGGGCGAATCTTCCTCAGCAAAAAAAAAGAAAGAAAGAAAAAGAAAACAAAATCATCCAAATAATCCTATCATTGGAAATAGTCTCTGTTAACATACTGTTGTTTATCATTCTAGCCTTTTTCTAAGCAGGTACTCTGTTATTTCCATTTCATGATGCTGTTTATTATAAGATACACCATTGATTTAATAACAGATTTGGGGGGTGGAAGAAATATTATCAAGAATTTTGAAAACAGCTTGATTTCATAAATAATAAAATATAAAAACTAGTATGTCTTGGAATTGAACTATGATATGTATGTGTGTATATACCTGTGCATAATCGTACTGTACACACAGTTACGGCTCTTCCCGTTTAATTTGTCCTGACCTTCCCCCATCTTATTAAAAATTAGTTTACAGCATCATTTTGACTTCTTCAATATATGCAGTTTCTTATGTGTAAATTTCATAGATAAAATCCTGTTTTGAGACATTTAGGTTATTTATGATTTTTTATTTCTATAACTCTTCAATGAACAGCCTTGTCCATCATCTGTGTGCATAGGTTAGTTTTCCCCTAAGATGGATTCTTGTACATGTAATTACTGAATCAAAAAATATTACTTATTAGAATGATCATACCACCTTATGCTCCTATTGGCATCTACTGCTATTTTTATTTGTTTATTTATTTATTTTTGGTGAGGAAGATCAGCCCTGAGCTAACATCTGTTGCCAATCCTCCTCTTCTTTTTTTGCTGAGGAAGATTGGCCCTGGGCTAACATCCGTGCCCATCTTCCTCTACTTTATGTGGGACGCCTGCTACAGCACGGCTTGATAAGCAGGGCGTATGTCCATGCCCAGGATCCGTACCTGCGAATCCCTGGGCTGCTGAAGCAGAGCGTGCAAACTTAACCACTACGCCCCCGGGCCTGCTCCTACTGCTATTTTTTAATGTAACAAATTAGAACTACTTTCTAGGATGTTGCCTATAGAAATGATTGCTTTGCTTTGGGAAAAATGATAAAATCTGGCAAGCTCTAAACTTTCCACATCTTTATTTTATCAGTACTCCTGGTAAAAGCCAGATAGATCTACGGAAACTACTTAGAAAAGTCAATGTAGAGAGGTAATACGTTCTCTTATCTTTATGCTTTCTAAATTCATTTGAAAAGTTGGCATGAAACACAGCTCCTAATATTTTTAATACCTTTGCAGGAGTCCAGGTGGAACCCCACTTACCAATAAAGAAAATATGGAAACAGGAACTGGGCTGACCCCAGTAATGACCCGAGCTTTGAGGAGAAAATTTCAGGTAAGCCTTTAGAAAAAAAAATTTGGTTCCTTTTCTTCAAAATCATTTATTTAGAATCATAATCTAAAGCATCATGTTTAATAATAATCATAATTTTTAAATGGTACCTTATGCTTTACAAAGCACTTTCATATTTAGGCTTCATAAAATTCTCTGAGGTAGCTAGGATTATCATCTCCACTTTAGCAATGAATGTCTGATTTTCTTAATTCCTTTAATAAGTATTTATTAAGCACTTCCTATATGCCAGGCACTGTGCTGGAGTGCCAGGGATATAGTGGTAAGCAAAAATAGACAAAAATCTACTGTCTTGGAGTTTTCAGTCTATTGAGAAAAATAGAGATTAATCAAATAATCACATATTTGTATAATTTTGCACTGGGGTAAGCACTGTGAAAGAAAGGAACAGGGTTCTGTGGGAACCCATAGAGGAACTTGATCTAGCCTGGATGATTTAGGAAGAGATGAAGTGAGACTTGAAGGATGAATAGGTATTAACTGGGAAGGGTACCTCCAGGGTGTGGGGTAGGCCCACCTTGGATGTCAGGGAGGAGAGAGTTCCAGGCAGAAAGAACAGCATGTGCAAGGGTCTCATGGTAGGGAGAGATCACGGCCTATGTGAGGAATTGAAAAGTGTGCAGTGTGGCTGTAACACAAAGCAAGTCTGACAGTGGTGAAAGACAAGGATGGAGATGTAGATAGGAGTTAGATCACGCAGAGTTGGTAGGAAAAGGTCTTGGCAGCTTTCTTCTTTGTCGTGTACATGTATGACCCACACACCAAATTCAGTACATCAGCTGGCCCTTGTATGATTTCTTCCAAATCTTGTTTGTCCCATCATCTCCCTGATCACCTCTATCATCAGAACTGTGAGGAGCAGCCATCCTGCCACCCCTGCTAGAGTGCTGGGACACAGGGCTGCTGGCATCTTTGGCTATGAAGCTTATATTTCTGTCTCCCTCTGGCAGCAGAGACACACTACAGACTTCACTGCTGACACTCTCCCACCACAACACTGCCCTCCCTTCATTTCCTTGTTAAGAATCAGTGCCTTTTGGGCCAGCCCTGGTGTCCTAGTGGTTAAGTTTGGCGCACTCTGCTTTGGCAGCCCAGGTTCCGTTCCCAGTCGTGGACCTATACCACTCGTCTGTCAGTGGCCATGGTGTGGCAGCGGCTCACATACAAAAAGAGGGAGATTGGCAGCAGATGTTGGCTCTGGGTGAATCTTCCTCAGCAAAAAAAAAGAATCAGTGCCTTTTGCAGGACAGCTTGGTTTCCCTCTTGCCAATCAACTTGGTCCTCCTGGGCAATGTTTGACCTTCTTTGGAGGTGTGGCCAGATTCCTCTTTCCTTCTTTTGGAGCATCCAATAGGAGTCTACCCCTAGATCATGTTCCTTAGTGATATCACAAATTATAATGGACAGGGGCAGAGGGCAGAGGCCTCACTAAAGGACTAAGCCTTTTCCTTTCTTTATTTGGCTCTAGGATCCTTTTTGTCCTTGCCCCACCCCATAACTACTATAGTGGGTTGGGTAATGTGGAAACAAATGAAAATATAATAAATAATAAACCCAAATAATAAATAAATAAACCACATATTGAGCAACCACATCAAAAATCACAGATAAGACCTATGCCGTATGTTGTACTCCCCAAAATCCACTTACTAGTGTTGATATAAATAAACAATAACCAATCTATAGATAAGACAGATAAGGTGAGATTTACTTTAACCAAGTTGAGGACTATCCCAGGAAGGCAGTCTCCACAAAGGAAAAAAGTGTTCCAGAGAACTATGGTTTTCAGTACAGTTTTATACCTTTTTTAGAACAAAGAATATACATCAAAAGCACCCAGGATACATATACATCAAAGTTTCAAAGAGATACTCAGCTGCAGATTAGCAGGTCAACATGACTCTGATGTTGCCGGCTGGGGGGGTGGGGAAGGAAACTTATCTTCAAAGGAGTACTGATACTGACGTTACTTATACTGGCTTCATAAGAAAGGAAGTATGCATCTTTATCTGCAAAGAGTGCCTTCTTTTACTTTCAGATAATGTTTAATGCATCCCTATCTTAACGGTTAAAGCAGATGTACAGTGTATGTTTGACAGGCCATAAGTCAGGCTTCTTTAGTTCAGGTCACATCAGGTTTAAACCAGAATAGCTACCCCATATACCTCAATATGTGAAAATTTCTTATCACTAGGAGGATGTCTAGTAAAAACTGTTTTTAGACATAGAATGACTTTTCCCATCCAGCCCTTAGGCTTCCTTTTTTCTTTAACTTTGAAGCAACTGTTTTAGTTAGGTTTTGCATTTGGCTACGAGTAACAGAAATCTGACTACAGTGGCTTAACCAACAAGGGGCTTATTTTTCTAGCCTACATATTCCCTTGGGAAGTAGACAGTTCACAGCTGGTATAGCAGCTTCACCATGTCATCACTGCTTTTCCATCCTTAATGTGTGGCTTTTATGTTCATGGTGCAGAATGGCTACACTTCCTGAAGCCTCGTGTCCACATTCTAAGCAAGATAAGGAGAAGGGCAAAAGGCAAAAGGATGTGCTAGCTAAGCTACCCCTCATCTCTTTAAACAGGCATTATCTAGGGGCAGGCCCTGTGGCATAGTGGTTAAGTTCACGTGCTCCGCTTCGGTGGCCGGGGGGTTCACAGGTTCGGATCCTGGGCACAGGCCTATGCACTGCTTATCAAGCCATGCTGTGGCAGGGGTCCAACGTATAAAGTAGGAAGATGGGCACAGATGTTAGCCCAGGGCCAATCTTCCTCAGCAAAAAGAGGAGGATTAGCAACAGATGTTAGCTCAGGGCTAATCTTCCTCACCAAAAATAAATAAATAAATAAAATAAACAGGCATTATCCAGGAACTTCTGATTACATCAGGGAAGCTGGGAAAAGTGGTTTTTAGAATCTGGGTGCACTGCTGCCCTGCACAAATCTGGGTTCTGTTAGTGAGGAAGAAGGAGAACTATGTTGGCCATGGGAATGTAACTCACATAATAATTGGAATTTTTTTTTATAGCTGGCTCACCCTAGAAGCCCAACTCAAACTCAACCGCTTCCTACAAGCAGCTTTGATGAACAAAACTGATGCCAACTCTGCCAGACTCCATGTGATAATCCACAAAATATACAGATAAAATCACTCCAATTGTCTCTTTTTTTTAATATAGTAGGGTATGTATAAGTAATTATTCTAATACATAATTCCATTTGGAGAATTAAAGTATGTATGGAGCCCATTCATACTGTGGTGTAAAGTGGGTATTTGGATATTTTCTAGTTTGCATGTTCTATAAGAGAACAGATGGAAAAATGGAATCTCCAAAGTGATTTTATCCTGGAATTACCCAATTTAGGTTGGAGAAGTTGTTCAAATTTAACTACATAACTGTAGCTTATACTCTATAGGTGCAGTTATAACAATAAGAAAATCACCTGGTTCCTGTTCATCTTGAGTATTCTTGGGTAATTGAAAAGTATTTTAGCCTATGAAGCTCATGCATTCATTAAGTGCTACAAACTTAATCAATAAAAAAGACCCTCTAGGGGTTGGCCCGGTTGCATAGCGGTTAAGTTCTCATGCTCTACTTCGGTGGGCCAGGTTTCGCTGGTTTGGATCCTGGGCACGGACCTACTCACTGCTCATCAAGCCATGCTAAGGTGGTGTCCGATATAGAAGAGCAACAACTCTACAACTATGATATACAGCTAGGTACTCAGGCTTTGGGGAGAACAAAAGGAAAAAGAGGAAGATTGGCAACAGATGTTAGCTCAGGGTCAATCTTCTGGGGGGAAAAAAAAAGACCCTCTAGATTTGATTTCTGTGTACTATAAACAATTAGGAGGTAAGACCATCCCCCATCCAAACCCAACTATTTTCCAAAAGGATTTGAAGCAAAAGGTCCAATGTGACCATAAAAATTAGAGTGTATTGCGGCTGGCCCGGTGGGGTAATGATTAAATTCAGGCTCTCTGCTTCAGCTGCCCAGGGTTCGCGAGTTTGGATCTCGGGTGTGGACCTACACACTGCTCATCAAGCCATGCTGTGGCAGCATCACATATACAAAATAGAAGAGGATTGGCACAGATGTTAGCTCAAGGACAATCTTCCTCGAGCAAAAAGAGAAAGATTGGCCACAGATATTAGCTCAGGGCCAGTCTTCCTCAACAACAACAAGAAAAATTAGAATGTATCATTTCTAGCATCTTAGGTAGGTAGTTATATCTGGCTCACTGAAGTCTGAGATATTCCTTACTTTTATATCTGCTGTCCACATTCCTGCAGCTACATATAAATTTCATGAAGACCTCAACACAAACCTTGTATTTTCCACAGTGCCCTGCCAAGGATTCTCTGTGGTACATAGTGGCTTCACCGTGAGACCTGATTCCCTGTCCTCAACAACCTGTCAATTGAATAACAGTAATAATACACACCTCAGTGGATTTTGTTCTTTCCTTCCAGTCCAAGGTTGCCATATTTAGCAAATATAAATACATGACACCCAATCAAATTTGAATTTCAGATAAACACAAATAAGCTTTTTTTTTTTTTTTGGCTTAGGAAGATTAGCCCTGAGCTAACATCTGTTGCCAATCTTCCTCTTTTTTTGCTTGAGGAACATTGGCCCTAAGCTAACATCTGTGCCAGTCTTCCTCCACTTTGTATGTGGGTCACCAGCTCAGCATGGCTGACAAGTGATCCAAACCTGCGAACCCAGGCCACCAAAGTGGAATATACCAAACTTAACCACTACGCCGTGGGGCAGCCCCAACAAATAACTTTTAAGTATAAATATGTCCCATTAAACAATGAATAATTTTTTTACTATAAGTAGGTCCCAAATATTGCATGGGACGTATTTATACTAAAAAAAATTTTCATTGTTTATCTGAAATTGAGATTTTTATCTGGGCATCCTATATTTTATATAGGCAGCCCTATCAGTCAGCCACCTACAAAGTTGCCAAGTATTTCTGGGAGCCCCCAGTTCGTCAGACATACGTACTTAGCAGTGGACACTACTGTAGCTTCAGCCAGGATCCCCATCACTAATGTGCTAAGTATCATGGAGGAAGGAGAACTCTCATTAGGGTGAGTGTGACTGAAGGTGCAGGATTAGCTTTCATGCTGATGACCTCCACTGCAGTTCCAAGAATAAGGATAGCAGCTCCTCGTGGATACATAGGGAACAAAGAGTTTCAGATCTTCAGTGCACTTGCTAGCATGACAGGAAGTAGATACATAGATGATATCCTTGAAATATCCCTGATTAGCTTAGGCTAAAAAGATATTTTGGCAATTGCCCAGAAATGTCTATATTTCCACAGATAAATATAGCTTTGAGATGCCAAATAAAGGGTTGTGGAAAGTCGCCAGACTAGAAAGCACACCCTGTTGTGTTTTTATGAGACTCACATTTATGTTTATAACACGTTTATGGATGAAAATTAAACAGATAGTGAAGTTAAGAAACATAGCTGCTTCTAATAATTTTATGTTTACATTATGTAAGAATAAAGGGAATGATCACTGAGAATAAAGCAGTTAAGTATTTATTTATTTTTTTTTTTTGTGAGGAAGATCAGCCCTGAGCTAACATCCATGCCAATCCTCCTCTTTTTGCTGAAGAAGACTGGCCCTGAGCTAACATCTATTGCCA